AGAGACTCCAGCACAGCAGCACTGCAGTGCTACTTCTGTCTCTTAATGTCTCCTGGTGGGTCTGATGGGCAAGATGAATCCTGCCACTGTCTCCCTATGCGGTGTATATGAAGGCCAGTTAATCTGCCTGATTAGCTCAGTTGAGAGTCTGAGGTTAGGAAAATCTCCTGTTGCAGGATATTCTCACAGCAGTGACTTCTTGAGGCGAGGAGAAAGCCATAAACCACTGAGTCTTGTCCCACTGTCAGTCTTGCGAGTGTCTGGGTTCAATGAAACTGCATCAATAACAAGCAACATGAACCTCTTTAAATCTGTGTCTTTGCTTTGTGGAGTTAATGGGTACATATTGTTGAAACTCAGAGTATTTCAGTGACAGGAAGAGGGACAAAATCAGCCTCACTTATGGTAGCTTAGCTTTGGATAGGTAGTACATTTATTGCTTCCAGGTGTTTATGCATTCCCAGTTCATGGATGTTTGACTGCTCAGCAATCAGGTTTAGAGCTCCTCAATTTGGTATTTTAAGATAAATCATCATTGATTTTGGATGTAATAGTCCATAAATCTGAATACTGAGAATCTGTTTTGGAAAAACTGTAAGACATCCTTGTAAGTGGAGCCAGTAATTTGACAGCCATGCTGAGCTGTGCATCCCATAGACCATTGTAATAGAAGACAGATACATAAAGGAAAGAAACATGAATCAGGGTAAAGTACTGAAATTTGAACGGGGTCCATGACAAGGAATGGTGGTGAAGTGTTACTGGAGGGCTGAATTTAAATCTTGCTTTGGTTTCATCACAGGCCCTATTTGTGCCATGAAATAGCTGACCAATACAGCCCAGTAGAGATCCGGAGTTGGTGTAATAGAAGATTTGTAAGCTAAAAGTCCTGAGCACTGGAAAACCTCCATGGACACCATCTTTAATGCACACTTGGCACTTGCTAGTATTGGTACAGCAAATGACCCACTCAAGGAAAATAAATGGGGACTAGAATTAAAATCATGTCTTATGTGAACCAGTGGATAACCTGAGTAATCTCAAACATAGAACAGGAGAAGGCAGTCTAGTCATGCAAGAGTAGCTCATGTTTTAAGACAACTGTCAAGGTCTGACAATAATTGATTCCCCCTTTATTGGAAAGAGGAGCCCTCCCTTGATGTATCTGAAAGGTTTGAAAAAAGGAGCAAGGTAGATTCTTCTCCCAGCTGCGTGCCTCTGTTGCTAGGAATTATTTGCTCTCTGTCACCTTTGAATGCTCATTTTTATCTTATTGTATGAATATTTGGTTCTTTTAATTCTGAAAGGGTACAAATTTGGTATGACAAAGGGAAGGGGAAAGTACTTGAGGAAGTCTCTTCAACAACTTATCTTGCACACATGGTCAGAAACTACTTGCTGTGCTGTACTGAGACCTGTGAATTCCCACTGCTGCATTGTGGAGGCAGAAACTGGGAGTTCTCAGTCCTTCTCTCCATTGACCTCAATTTCAGATGGAACTGTTCCATTCTTAGGTCGCATGGAGCTAACTGATATCTATGGTGATGCCATGTATAGGCTGTTTATTTCTAGAGGATAGTGGGAAAACAGCCTATTATATATTAAGTACTTCTGACTTTCCAGATTTTTTAACATATATTAATATATTTTTTTCTTGCAAGTGCATGTATGATTTTATAAGTATGTAATTGTATCCACAAAACTCCAAGGTATACTTTCATTTGTAATCTAAAAGTAAATACTTAATGTAAAATGTGATATTTTTGTATTTTTTAACAAATAGAAGTCATTATATATTTTCTGCTAAAAAAACAGATAAAAGTCCCAAGATTTCATCACAGTGTTTGCTTTACAAGCAATGCAATAATGGCAGTCAAACTATGCCCTACACAGCAAGCATCCACATATGTCTCTTAAAGAAATAGCGTCATGTTGGGTTTTTAAACAGTGTGGGAAGGGCAGATACTCACTAATTTTCCATGCCAACCTTCGTATTCAGCTTATTTACTGATAACTCCCTTATTATACTGTTGAGGTTAGAGAACACTTCAAACATCTTACTGCTTTCCCAGAATTTAGCCCCAAGTGTGGCTGGAAGTTTCAGTGCAGTGGTATGCTCTGGAGGATTTCTTTCCCATCTCCTTGCAGATGAAGTTTGGCAGCATGCACCAAGAACAGCCTTGTCATTTATGCCATTGGCATTATTGATTTCAGTCTTAGCTTTAAAACAGAACTGAAATACTGTGGAAATATAAAAAGTTAGGAAGGCTTATTTTCCTCTCTGCTGGGTGAAAAGACTGTCTCCCAGTTTGAGAACGCACAGCCTAGTAGTCTCATCTGTGGTCTAAAGCGGGTCTGCGGAGGTCAGGAGACTCCTGCAAGTCCTGTCAAGTCCTCTAAACAACTTAAGTTACATCATGGTAAAGTGTGTGGTGAAACTCAAACTGCTCTCCATAGGTCCACAAAGAAAATGTAAATTTCCAAAATTGATGAGAAAGGATGGGCTCATGGCAATGGCAGTGCACTTCAGCACGGTAGTGTTGAGTTTTCTCCTCTTTTAGTAGGGACTTCATGTAAAACCACAAATAATTGCCTGTGTAATTTAGCATTGGTAACAAATGTAGCCTTCCAGTACCTAAAGCGGATGTGCAGGAAAGCTGGAGAAGGACTTTTCACCAGGGCATTTAGTGACAGGACAAGAGGTAATGACTTTAAACTGAAAGAGGGCAGGTTTAGCTTAGATACTAGGAAGAAATTTCTTACTCAGAGGGTGACAAGACACAGGAACAAGTGGCCCAGAGAAGTCATGGATGCCCCAATCCTGGAAATATTCAAGGCCAGGCTGGATGGGGATTTAAGCCACCTGGTCTAGTGGAAGGTGTCCCTGCCCATGGTGGGGAGGTTGCAACTAAATTGTCTCTAACATTCCTTTCAACTCAAGACATTCTATGATTCGATGAATTTCTATAGATTTCGTAGTCTTTAGTAACCCACACACAAAATAGGACAAAATAGTACTGCTTGTCTCCTGGCCTTTGTCTGTTTTACTGATTTAAACTGAAAGCCTTCAGAGCTGGGACCATCTTTGCAATTTGTGTGTACGTGAACTGTCATAAAGGGCTTACAATCTCATCTGTTGCAGACATTGCTGCACCACAAATATTTAACAGTTATTGATAATAATTATTCCTTCATTGACATGCACTGAAACATGGCAAAGACTGTTTTGGGAAAGAAAAGCTTGCTATCACTTGGATGAATTGTTTGTACTGGCCTGCATAACAGTGCAAAGTGGAATTATTCTGCTTTACATGATTGTTCTTGTAATTAAGGAAACTTCAGAACAGCTGCTTATCGTTAATTTGTTTGCTAGTTCAATTTTCTAGAAGAAACAAAGAAAATAAGTTGGGGGAAACTAGAAGATCAAACTGGGCACATTAATTATTTCTCTCTCTTTTCTTTATAACTGAGATATCCTGCATGCCTCAGCAAATTATTGTTGAAGCATCTGAAGTATTAACATAAAAAGCTTTAATTGAAAATATATCTCCTGAGAATTTCAGTTCTTCAGCTGTGGGCTCAGACCTCCAAGATTTTCATACATATTGCTGAAGGCTAGTGCACTGGGACATACAATCTTTAGCAGTGGATGATGCAAGTAATTAATTATTATAAAAAGTACTCGGTTGTCAGATTCCCCTCCCCACTGAGCTTGGTAAAGCACCAAAGCAGATATGTTCTTGCCCCAAAGAGCCTTCTTATTAGAATGAAATATGAGGAGTGAAAGAGATGCCAAAGCTGAGCTGAGCAACGAGGATAATTTTTTTAAGATAATCCTCACAGCATCTTCATTTGCAAATATTTTCAAGTTTTTCTTTATTCTTAATTCTTGGGTTTTCTTAAAGAAGCGAGGCTTATGAAATTGTACCAGTTTTCTCTCTGTAAGCCTGCCTACAGTATCTCAAAGATACCACGTTTCTGAAAGCTTCAGAACTGAGGGAATTTGAAAAGAGCAGAGACCTAGTTTGTGGCCCTTGTAAAGAGAAAGGCGGCAACAGGAGAGACAACCTCAGCATGTAGCTGTTGTGAAATTTACCATAAAAACATATCTCAAAAAAGCTATGCATATTTGGATCGAGTTTTTCAGAAGGGATCAACAGTACATCTGGACATGGAAATATGAAAACTCTTTTAATAATTAAAAACTCAGTGGCCTATTTTTTTGGTCTTATTTTATTTTATTTAGGCTCATAAAATGTTTGGATCCAATCTGAAGTAAAATTTTAAGGGCTGACCTGAAACTTTCAACAGGCTTCCCAGCAAGAGCTGCTGGGTTCAAACAGTGTTGAGAACCCAACTGTTTCAGATGCCCAAATAGACACTGATCTGTTCTGAAAAGTCATTAATTGACCAAACATCCTCATTCACATGAAATGTAGGTCCTCATCCTGGCAGCCTAAAGTCTTTTTTCAATGGCTGTTTTAAAGCCGATTTCTCCCATCTTCCCATTTTCTTCCTCCATTCCTTAGAAGAGCAAATGATAGACATCAGCTCCCTAACTGACATTACTGAAATTATCTTCACATAAAATCTGGATCAGGAAATATTTTCACAGTGGGATTTTGTTCTCATACAGAGGTCTGACCCTCTCTGTATGCTCATAGACAGCAGACATAAGTAAGATTAAAGCCATGCCCTAGATGTTCCAATGATGTTTTTCTCTGTAATTCATGTACTGTAAGGGAATATTTTATGATACCTGAAAAGATAACAGAAAGAGCAGTTGTCAGCCGTCAAAGGATGTTTTTTTTCTAATGAAGTTCCTCAGGAATCAATAGTAGCTGTGCATCTTAGCCAACAATTTTATCAGCATTCTGCAAGTAAACCACAAATAAAATTTCACAGATGATTTGTAATGAAAGGAGGTCAGCCACTTTTAAAAATGTGAAGTACTTGGTGACTGCAGGAAAGGATCACTGTAAAAACGTGTTTTCTTCTAGGGAATTCAAGGCATTGTAGCTTGAAATCAGAGCCATGTGGAAATCATCAAATAGCTGATAAGGAACAACACTGTGATGAAGGCGGCTAAAACAGTTAATAGAGAGTCAACAGGAACGGAAGAATGAGGAGGTGATTTTTGTTTGTATGTGGCATTATTGAGACTGATATGGGAAGGCTGCATCCTCTTGACAGTATTTTTAGAAGATCTGAAAAACTGGAAAGCTCCAGAAAGAATCATGAGGAAAGGACAAAGGGCTTCACTTATCAGCTTCAGCAAGGGACATTTTGGCTAGACTGAAGGAAATTGGTTTTTTTTACAGTGGTAGTAAAAATCTTGGAGGAAGTCCTTTTTTTTTTTTTTGCATTGGATATCTGTCAATATTCTATTGAATGGTAGGATAGACATCTTCAATAAAGTTCAGGGGTTTGTGCTGTGTGACCCCAGAAACAAATCTGATTTCATTCTTCTTGTCTCATGCAGGTATGGATATTTGTAACACCCAGGACACTTTTTATCCACAGACCTTGGAGCACTTCACAAACAATTTTTTTGTTACTTCCTCTGTTTCTCTTTCATAGAAATTGAAATGCAGAGAAATGACAGTTTTCTAGGGGCAGATGTGGGAATAGAGCCCATACTCCCTCAACACCTCTGCCTTGAGGCAATACCATATCTATTGCAGTAGCTTTCACACAGTCATTAGCCTCAGTATTTCCATTTTTTTAAATGAGTGGAGCTCAATTGCCCATTGCACATCAGTACTGGATCACAAAAGGTATCTCACTGCAAAAGGGGTAACATCACTAGTGTGCCAAAAAGATGATTTTCTCTAAAACCAAAAGTGAGCTGGACAGAACTTGTTAGAAGGCAGCAACCAACACAAATGTCAAAGCTCTGATCTAAAGTAGCTGGTAGCTCATAATTATGGTAAATATCCCAATATAATTCCAGCTATGTAGGGTATGAGATGCCAATGAGATCAGTGAAGGTGAGAAGGATTACATTTAAAGGCAAAGACTATGCTTGGCTTTCTTTCTAGTTCTGTTTTTAACCTGTAGTGTAAATGTGAACCAGCCTTTTAACCTTCCTATAGTTGTATTTTCACACTGAAGAAATATGAATAGTATTTCCTAAGTTTTAAGAAGCTCTTTGAAATGCTTCACTTGTAAAGCATCAGAGGTCAGTAATTGTGTTTCTTGTTTGGTTGTATTTTTCCACAATGATCCATAGAGAAGCAGTGAATAATGCAAGGCAGTTAATTATCTTAAATATGTAGCTCATAAATATCTAGAACCAAATAATAAAAGACCTATGGTCTTTATTGAAGACCATAGGAATAATGGAACATGCCACTGTTTTGTATTTGATACATTTATTTTAAAAGAAATGTAGTGGTTTAATTTGTGTATGTGAAGTATGCCTGACATTTTCTGTTGATTTTAAACAGTATGGTATAAAAGAAAAATATTTCTCTTTCTGCTATTTTTGAGACTTCATTTTTTCAATTTTAGATGTGATCGTCGGGGAAACGGTGAAGCTATTTGCTAGAACCATTTTGTTTAGTTGCTATTATAAAAATTCTATCACAATTCACAGCTTTTGTCTATTACAAAAATGTCATTAAAGTCCGTGAGCTTTAAAAGGCATCTGTACTTAAGAAGAAAAAGAAATACCATATGATAGCAAATACAATAACAAAGCACAAAATGGAAATGTAGAGGTACATTATATACTCTTTGCAGTAATGTGCCATAGACTAACGGCTGAATATCCTGAGAGTGAGCTGAAGTTCAACATTTTGAAGATAACTTATCATTTTATGTGATTTTTTCAAAGTAAAATCTTAAAAAAGTACCCAGCAGGCTTATCAAAAATTGGCTTGAAGACTTTATAGGTATCTATAAAGTTCCTTTTGCATTGTAGTCAGCGAACCAGGACAAGACTAAGAAAACAAGTCCAAGACCTGTACATAAAGTGTGTACAAAGTGTGTTTAGCTTCAGTGATTCAGCAGGACTCTGAACCACTGTTATCCCATTAAATGTTAACTTGGGTAAATACACTTCAGGCTACCTCAAAATTTTTTTTTTAAATTAGAATGCTTATAGTGGCATCTTGGACATGCCCTAAATATTAAAATTCATATGTGGTGTGTAGGGGTACTTCAAGCCACAACTGAAGGACTGTCTGGTTTGCTTTGGAGGCTGTGCACTTCAAGATCACTTTGAAAGTCCCTTGGCTGAGAACAATATCTGTGTTGTAGAGTGCATGATGCCACATATGGACAGTCTCTTCCCAGTGCCTCCACTGCAAACTTTGCAATGATTTCCATGGACGTAGGACTGGGGTCCTCAATGCACTCATACAATACTTTGAGGAACAATTATTTTTGAATCAGTGCTTTGTGAGTGCTGTTTACTTCTACAAAATATGCAAGTGCATTTGACTGGTTTTTGCATGAACTAAAATTGAAAATTAATGTATTCTTTAAGGTTCTGTCTCCTTTTCTCTCCTGGGTGAAATGGAAAGCTCTTGCTGGGACTGGGGTGATAGCTTGTACCACTGTGCCCAGAGCTCTGGGACAAAGGAAGGAGACGTTATTATATGGCCAGAGATATTTTCTTGGAAATAGGAAACAGCTTGCAGTTGTACAAAAATATATCATCCTAATCTGAAGCATTTCAACATAAAACTTTCCATACTTGAACGATATAGAAATTGCATATGCAGTAATTTTTACAGCAAGTACACTTAAAGGAGAATGATAGATTCAACAGTAAGTTAAGAAATCTATAAAGGCATAATAATGTAAATAAAATAACATGTCAATTTATATATACAGGGTATCAGGGTGCAGAATATTCTAGCTGCAGAATATCTCCAGTGTTAAAATCTGGAGTTTAGGCACTCAAAGAAGCAATTATGCTTTAAAACTCTATTTTTTATTTTTAGAAACTCAGTTTTTCTTCTTCCATCCAGAATACCTAGGAAGTTTCTTTGTATGTGGATAAACTCTCTTGTGTACCTTCTTTTCCATTGCTCAATCACCATCTACAACCTCCTCTACTGGAAACTGTCTTATAATCAGTAATGGAATAGTTAATAATTGTTGTGTGCTATTTGCTATGTAAGTTTTCCCCTTGTTTTCTTTTAGTCTGATGTAGCAAATATTGTTCCACTAGGAGATACAATGTGACTGTGAACGATGTTTTTTTCATTTCTAACATTAGTAGTATTGATTTACTAATTGTGTACTGAATTTCATCCAGTGAGTTTACCACCATGGTGATTCTCGTTTCTTCATGTTAGGAAGTGTATTTCTTTCCCAGTTTAACAGATGAAAAAGAGATGAAAAAGTATTCTGATTAAAACCAGTCAGTGAAAAAAAACCTGAAAAATATTAAAACCGATGAGTATTTAAAAAAAAACACCAATGGAAGAACAATATGAATATACCATGGAAGCCCAATTTTTAAACCTGTATCTGAAGATTCAAGAATCCTCAGGGTATATTAATGGAATGATCTCTCTGGTCATATAGAGACACGTATACGTGGAATACTTCTGTTGGCAGTCTCTTTGGCCGGCCTTACATTGCCACTTTTAAAAAATTGCTACACAACAACTCTCTAAATTAAAAAAAAAAAATCCTCAGCAAGCCAAGGTATCTCATCTCAACCCTTGAAAATGACCAGAGCTCACTGTGAGACTGACAGCTTTGAAGCAGCTTGCACAGGTAAAGTGAACAAATGATGTCATATCCCTGGTGTGATGATGAATGCTTCTTTTCCCCTCAATTTGCAATTATTTTAATTTCAGTTATCTAGCATTAGTATGTGAAGAGAAGATGTCTCCTTAGCTTTGAGAGTTTTTTCAGTGTTCTATTTCCCTATTGTCCAGTTAGATAGTGCTGGATGTGCAGTGGGGTGATTTCCACCTGCTGCTGGGCAAGGTGGAAGAAAACTAAGACATTATAAATTTTCTGATTTCTTTGCAGACATCAAAACACCAGATGAGAACTAGGGTCTTAAATTTAATAATTATCTGCCCTAGATGTCAGTTACCTGAGGGGCTGGAAATGTTTTTTTTTCTGGTCTTGATTGTTGTTCATCAGCTCTTTTAGAAAGAATTGCTTATGAATCTTATGCTCCCAAGAGAGTAGATCTTTCTACTGTCCAAATGGAGTTTGTCTTCTTGTCCATGCTGATCACTGTTGCTTTTCCCTTAAGCTTTGGCAGACACAAGCCTAAAGTCTCAACATGCTAAGCCATGATTGCACCTGTATGAAATTCAAGTTTATCAGAATTTTCATATCAATTTTCAAAAGCATTCAACATGATGAGACTGAAAGAAATCCAAAAGCATTACAAAAACCTTAATGAAAGTGACAACAAAAGTAATAACAGGAAACTATTTCAACTAATGTTGTAATTTCTGGTATGGAGAGATGTCCCATTTTTCTCATTTCAAACATCTTTCAGAATAATTATTCAGGAGATGGAAGAAGAATGTACACACAGCCTAGTTTCAAATGTTTAGCTTTCTAATATTCACATCCCAGGGATACTGAGCATTTTTCTGATTTCTATGCAACAGTTTTTCCAGCTCAAATCATAAAGAAATGGCAATTAGGCTTCACTTGAATTTTCTCTTCTCCCACTCTTGGGCACCAGCACAGAGTATGCAAAACAAAATATGAAAAGCAGGAATTGTCTTGCTAGTAATGGAGCAGGCAGGTGGTAACCCAACTTTCAGTTCCTAATGTGTATGGGTGATGGAGAAAGGCTGTAATCATCCAAGTCAGAATAAAGTGCCTTTGCACAAAGCAATCTCTGAATGATGCAAACCCATGGTTGCCTGGCAGTGTTTTTAAGCTTTCGATACTGCTAATTTGTTATGTATTTTTCACACAGCACCATTCTTAGATAATTACTGTAGTTGGTGTCACAGAAAGGAATCTTTAAATTGCATGTATTAGATGGTTTTGCTGATGAGATTGCCTGCTAGCAATCTTCTCATTGTCCTGTGATGATTCCAAGAGATATTTTACAGACTGTGAACATGAGCTGGAAGCCTGGGAGTTATTGGATCAGATTTCTGATTTTGGCAACAGCAAAACATATTGCACGATGTTATGTGAATCACAAAAATCCACTATGTTCCCATATCGCTGGTTGTTCAGTGGAGAAATGACAAGA